GGGCGGTGGCGGCGGCGGGGCCGGAGGGTACGGTGCGTGTGCGCCTATGTAAGGCCCTGGCCCCATAGGCATGAGCGCGGGCACAAACCCCGCGGTTACCGCCGTCGGCGGGTACATCGAGCCGATGGGCACGCCCTGCATGCTTTGCAGCACCTGCAGCGACGGCAGGGAGTCGTACCCCGGCGCCCCCACAAACAGGTACCCGGCGCCGCCCGGCAGCATGCCGCCGCCCGGCATCGGCGGCGCCGCCTGCATGTAGCCGCCGCCGTGGAGGCCGTACATGCCGGGGGCGAGGCCGTAGGCGCCGCCCAGGTCGCCGGCAGCCATTGCCGCCTCAAGGCCGGGCTGGAAGTGCTGCGACTGCTGCTGCTGCTGCTGATTATTGTTATGGTAGTACGACGGCTGGTGCGGATGCTGTTGCTGTTGCCGTTGCGGCGGCGGGTGCTGCTGCTGCTGCTGCTGATAGTGATTGTGGGCTGAGGGCTGCTGTGGCCGCTCCTGCTGCTGAGCCTGCTGATGATGATGCTGCTGCTGCGGGCCTTGCCGGGCGGCCGCCGCCATCGCGTCGCCCGCCGCCACGGCGGCCGCAAGCGCGACAAAGGGCTGCGCCACCGCCCCAGACGACGCCGAGCTGGTGCCAGCGGTGGGGCTGCTGCCGTAGGGGCTGCCGCCAGAGGGGCTGCCGCCAAACACGCTCGCGACGCTCGCGGGGTGGCTGGCGCCCGCGCCGGCGCCGGCCAGGCTGAGGCGGCTGAGGTTGCGCGCCATGCTGGCGCTGTCCAGGCTCGTCCGCCGCATCGCCGCCGCCGCCGCCGCAGCGACCACCGCGGCAGCGGCAGCGGCGGCCGCGCCCACGGAGCCGCTGCTGGAGCTGCCGCCGCCGGCGGGTTCTGGCGGCGCGCCGGCATGCGAGTGGCCTGCGGAGAGCTGCTGCTGCAGCGCCGCGAGGCCGGGAGTCGTCAGGCCGGCCGGGGCGCCGCTTCCGAGGGCGACGAGCAAGGGAGGGCGGTGGGGGCTGCCGCCGTCGACGACGCTCGAGCCGGCGGGGGGGGACGCGGCACTGCTGGCGTCAAAGGGCAGCCCCTGCAGCAGGAGCGGGTCCAACCTGACGCCCGCGCCGCCTTGATGCATGTGCTGTTGCTGCTGATGGTGGTGCTGCTGCTGTTGGTGCTGGTGCTGGTGTTGAGCCCCGTCAAGCAATGCGGGTTGCGCCCCCAGCTGCAAGCTGCCGCCCGAAAGCAGCCCCGAGAAGCCGGCGGGCCCGCCCGCCCCGCTGAGCAGCGGCGCCGACGAGTCCAGCGCCAGCAGCGGCGGCGGGCTGCCGCCGCCGAGCTGCGGGCCGCCGTGCGGGATGCCGCGCAGCAGCGGGGAGCCGCCCAGCAGCGGAGAGCCGCCAGCGGCGGCGGCCGCCGCGGCCGCCAGCAGGGCAGCATCCACTGCGGCGGTGTAGTCCGGCCCCGCGCCATATGTTGGGCTCCCGCCCATGACTGGACTCCCCCCCTGGATGGGGCTCCCCCCAATGACCGGGCTGCCCCCCAGCAAAGCCAGCATATTGGCCTGCTCCTGCTCCTGCTGCTGCCGCTCCTGCAGCTGGTGCAGCTGCAGCAGCTGAAGCTGCAGTTGCAACAGCTCCTGCTCCTGCTGTGACTGCTGCTGCTGCTGCTGCTGCTGCTGCTGCTGCTGTGTCTGCCGTGCGTGCTGTGCCTGCTGTCCCTGCTGCGCTTGCTCTTGCTGCTGCACCTGCTGCAGGTCGTGCTGCAGCTGCAGCAGCTGCTGGGCCGGCTGCTGCTCCTGCTGCATCCGCAGGCGAGGCTGCTGCTGCACAAGGCCGGGGCTTTCAACGCCGCCCAAGGCCCCGGGTGACACAGGCGCCTGGTTGGCGGGTAACACCAGCAGCGGCCGCAGGTTCTTGGGCGTCCCCACCACCTGCGCCTGCGCCTGAGTCTGCAAGCCACCGTCGCCGCCTGCCAATGGGGGCTCCGCCCCCGTCACGGGGCCTGCGTCGCGGCCTCCGCTCAGCAAGCTCTCCAGCGCGGCCGCAGCGGCGGCGGCAGTGGGCGTGCTGTCTGGCTTAGCGTGAGCTGCGCTCTCCACGCCAATTCGCAGCTGCGGCAGCTGCCACTGCTGCTGCTGCTGGTGCCGCTGGTGTTGCTGCAGCTGTTTGTGCTGCTGCTGCTGCGCTGGCTGGCCGCCGCCGCCAACGCTCCCGCCGCCGCTGCCGCCGCCGCTGCCGACGCCGCTGCCACCTGAGCCGGCATACATGGGGCTCCCGCCCGCCAGGGCGCTCGCGCCGCTGCTTTCGCTGTCAGCGCGGACGCGCTGCAGTTGCTCAAGCCCTGGGAGCACCGGCAGCAACCCGCCGCCACCCCCGCCACCATCACCGCCCGGCCCCTGCCCCTGCACGCCGCCGGCGCCCCAAATGCTGCCGCTGAGCCACGGCGACAACGGGGCCAGGCGCCCGCTGGTGGGGGAGGCGCCTGCGGCGTGCGCGGCTGGCAGTGCCGAGGCCAGCATTATGGGATGAGCCGGACCAGCATGCCCCTGCGCCGGCTCGTCAGCCTGCGGCGCCCTCAGGCTGGGCAGCCGTGCGGCATCCGTCGGCGAGGGCGGCGTGGGGCCGCGCGCGGCGGCCGCACGTGGCGTGCTGGTGGCAGCAGGGGTGGCGGCGGCGTCGCGGAGGGGTGATGGCGGCGGCGGCTGAGCGGGCGCCGGCGCTTGGCTGGGCCGCGGCGGCGGCTGCTTCTCCTGGCGTCCATGCCGCCCGGCCCCATCGGGACCCTGCAAACGCTGATCCATGAGTTGCTGCTGCTGCTGCTGCTGCTGCTGCTGCTGCTGCTGCTGCTGCTGCTGCTGCTGCTGCTGCTGCTGCTGCTGCTGCTGCTGCTGCTGCTGCTGCTGCTGCTGCTGCTGCTGCCTCGGCTGCTGCTGCCTCGGCTGCTGCTGCTGCTGCTGCTGCTGCTGCTGCTGCTGCTGCTGATGCTGCCTCAGCTGCTGCCTCGGCTGCTGCTGCTGCTGCTGCCGCTGCTGCTGCTGCTGCTGCTGCTGCTGCTGTTGTTGCTGCTGCGGTTGCTGCTGCGCTTGCGCCGCGACCGCCCCGCCCTGCTGCTGCAGCGGCCGATGGTGCGCCACCTGCTTGAGCTGCACCGCCCTCACGGCGGCGGCGATGGCGGTCGCGCCACCCGGCACGCCAATGGCGTCTGTCCAATTTGGCAGGGCCGGAGCCGCTGCGTCTGTGAGACGGCGCAAGAGGGGTAAGGCGAGGCAGCGCAGCACACTTCAGCAAAATGGGGCGGGTGAGCTGGGTGTTGGCAGGCGCGCTGCAATGCCACAGAACGTGCAATGGCAGTGACCCGGCCGAATGTGCACACCACAGCGTCTGCACGCCACGAGGCGAGGCGAATTGGGAGTTTGACCAACTCTGGGCGCAACCCTGACAGCGTGAGGTCTGGGATGTGGCCAACAAAACCCCGGTTTACATCTCAGCCAGTCAACCGGAGTCAAACCCACCGTCATCGGAGTCAAAGCCGCTGGAGCTGCTCTCATCAGAATCTGGGGCGTTGCCATACAGTGCCGCGTGGGTGCGCGCCTCGCGCCCCCGCTGCGGCTGCTGCTGCCGCTGCTGTTGCTGCTGCGGCGGCCGCTGCGGCGGCAGCAGCTGTTCCTGGTGCCGCTGAGTTGGCGGCTCCTGCCTTTCCTTCTGCTGCTCCTGCTGCTGCCGCTCCTGCTGCTGCTCGCTCTGCTGCTCCGGTTCCTCAACTTTCCCATCGTCCGCCTCTGGCTCCTGCTTGTGCGTTTCCTCACCCTCCTGCTTTTGCTGCGGCAGCACTTGCTGCTGCGGCCGCGCCTGATCCACCGGGGGCGACGCCTGCCCCGCCTGCTGCTGGCCGGACGCCTGACTGCGGGCCGCCTGCGCCGCCTTGAAGGCCGCACCTATGCGCCGGTTGGAGAGGCCCGCGGCTGCCCCCTTGACGACCAGCAGCGTCGCGTTGAAGGCACCAAGCCCTGGAGTGTGGTGGTGGGGTGCGGTGGCTTTGTGGCAGGGGAGGGCGCCTCGAGGCAGGCGCGGCATGCACTAGAGCAACCAAGGAGGCTGGGGAGACCGGAAAGACCGGAAAATGGGAGGCAAAACAGCAACGGCCGGGTTGCGGGCACGACATCAAAAGTTGGGCGCCCCGAGACGATATAGCAGCGGCTTGGGTGAAGCAGCAGCGACAGCGCCCAGCCCCACCTGCGTCGCTGCCGTCACTGCTGCTCTCCTCAGTCCACGAGCCCTCGCTTTCGTCGCCGCCGCCGCCCCAGCCGCCGCCCAGCGCGAGCCCGCCGAAGGACGCCTGCGCTCGTGGCTGCCGCTGAGGCTGCGGCCGGGGCGCCGGCGACGACTGGCGCGGCCCCTGCTCATCAGCGTCTGCCGGCGGCCCGCACGGCAGTCCCACCGCCGTGGCCTGGGGCGACCCCGGCTCCGGCGGCTGCTCCCCCTGCTGCAAAGCGCCGCTTGCACCTTCGGCTGTGTCCGCAGTGGTCGGAGGGCTGTCCTTCAAAGAGCCTTCAGACTGGGCGCCCTCCGACTCGACTCCATAGGCCGCGTCTCGCGCCGCCTGCGCCGCGGCCTGTTCCCCCTGCAAACGCTCCACCACCGCCGTTGCTGCTGCCAGCTTCGCCTCCGCCTTGCTGCACGCCAGCCGCAACACAGCAGTCGCCTCGCCGCCTGGCTGCTCCTGGCTTCGCTGCTGCTGCTGCTGCTGGCCCTGTTGCTGCTGCTGCTGCTGCTGCTGCTGCTGCTGCTGCTGCTGCTGCTGCTGCTGCTGCTGATCACCGTGCTGCCGCTCGTCATCTTGCTGCTGCTGGTACTGCTGCTGCTGCGGGCTCTCAGCCGCAGCCGCGACATCCAGCCGTGCCCTTAGGGACGCCACCTCAGCCTCCAGCTGCGCCAGCGCCGCCCCCGCCTGTGCAGCCGCGCGCGTCGCCGCCCCCAGCGCACGGTCCGCCCTCTCCCGCACCACCAGGCGCCGCAGGCGGCTCACCTTCTTCTTGCGCCGCCGCAGGCCGCCCACCGCGGCGGCGCCGGGGCCCCTCAGCGGCCGCAGCCCCTGAGCCTCCGCCGCGGCCAGGATGGCCGCCGCCTCCGCGGCCGCCTGGCGCCGCGGCGCCCCGGCGCGCTGCTGCTGCTTCAGGCGCGTGACCCGGCGCTGGTGCGGCGCGGCACCACCACTGCCAGCAGGCGCAGGCCGCCGCACCAGGTCCAGTAGGCTGACCGCCACCGGCCCCGGCGGCATGCGGGCGGGTACCCCGGCCCCCGCCCCGGGCGCGCGCGCCTGCGCCGGCCCGGCCGTGGGCCACGCCGCCTCGGGCGGCGCGCGAGGGCCCTGGCCGGCGCCGCCGGTCGCCCAGGTGCGCGGCGCGACGGCGCCGCTGCTGCCGAGGGCGGGGAAGTCCGCGTCGGTCAAACCAGCGGGCGCGGGCTGTGGCGGCCGCTCGCCAGGTTCACCCACAGCGGCGGCGGCCGCAGTGGCGGCAGCGGCAGCGGCCAGCTGGCGCACTTTGGCGGTCTCGTCATTGACACCGCCATGGGCTGCCTGCAGGTGCTGCGCCAGGAAGCTGTGGGCCGAGAAGGCGCGCCCGCACACGCGGCACCTGAGGCGCCCGGTGGCGGGGTGCTGCTCGCTGCGGTGCGCCTGCAGCAGCAGGCGGCGCTGACGGTCGGTGGGGGCTGGGGATTTGGGCGGCGCACGTGGGCGGCGCGAGACGTGGTGCCACTGGCCGCCATTGTCCTCGCCGTCCATCAGTACACGCTCCTGCTTGGGTGCTAAGGTGAATCACGAACGCCATGCCAGGTGGACAGCTGCGCGCCACAGCTGATGCATCATCCACGCAAACGCGCTCGGAAGCGGCGCTCGGCGCAGCGCGTCAGTCTGCGCATCCAGTGCCCTGGAGTGACTTCGAGGGGGCCAGCGCGCAGCCACTTGTCGCGTGCTAGTATTCACGGGTTTATCATCTAAAAGCGTCGACAGGAGCTGCCAGCTTCGCCGCGTTTGGTGCCATCCATCACGAAGGGGGGCGTGCTCTCAAGCACGTTTCACGCAATGTTTGAGGTCGCGAAGAAAGCTTCTAGCTTGGCTTACAACGCAAGTAGAACAACGCACGACAAGGAGCGGCATGCATAGGACCCCGGCTGTTGGGCCCGCGCTCTGCTCGTGCTGTTGTCCCGGCAGCTCAAGCGCCGCCTCGTCACCGCATGCCATCCTGACGCCAGCTCAACAGGCCGCCAGGCGTAGCCAGAGACGTAAGACAACTATTTACACTTTACACCTTCATCTGCAGCGGCTGCATTCGCAGTGGCTGCCCCGCAATCAGCTGCCGCCGCCAAAGCCTCGCGCAACGCCGCTGTTGCCTCGGACCAAGCTCCGCCGCGCTCACCATCCAACCCTTTCAGACTCCCCTCCTGCGCCTCACCCCACCCCTGGCCCGGCACGCCCACAATCAGGTCGTTCTTTGCCATTTCAGCAGCGCCCAGCACCTTGAACAGCCCAGTCACATACCCGGCCTCCTCCGCCGCTGCATTCCGGTCAAGCTCGATCGCCGCCTTTGCCGCCGCGGCGACATGCGCGCGCGCTTGCAGTGCCTCCGCGAGCTGCGCCTGTTCCGCTGGGGCGTGGGCAATGTCCGCGACCTGCGCGCATGCGCGCATGCAGCCTTGGCGTAAACCATGATGCCGACACATGCCTGTCCTGGCGGCAATTCGGCCTGTCTCGATCGATTCACTGCACGCGAGTGACATGCATGAGCATGCATGCCACGTGCATGGAAGCGCGCGTAACCGCATGCGCCCACTGTGCGCATGCATGGCCGCGGCAAGGTCATGCGCCGATTGCTCGAACAACGCAGTGGTGCGCATGCACGCAGACGACAGGATGCAGAAACCAGGTGTGCTAACAGAAGCACGACCCCCTCACTCGCGCCAGCAGTCTGAAGTGGCGCTCTGGGTCTGGCAGGTGGCGACGCAGCCAGGCCGACCGCGGGTGCTCCAAAGGCTCCAGCCCCAGCCCGCTGCCGCTCACCCCACCCTGCCCCGCTGCGCCTGGCTGGCAGCCCGCCTCTAGACGGTGCCGTTGAAGAGTTGGACAGCTTGCGGCGGCAGCACATCTGGTGTCTGCGGCAGCCTCCCGAGCTTCCAAAGGGGTGGCATCTGAAAAAGCCTGGACTGTGTGATGCACCCGGCCAGGTTCCTCGCCCATCGCCTGCCTTCTCTGCTGCTGCTGCTGCTGCTGCTGCTCCTGCTGCTGCTGCTCCTGCTGCTGCTGCTGCTGCTGCTGCTGCTGCTGCTGGTGCTGCTGCTGCTGTTGCTGTTGCTGCAGCTGCAGTGCCACGGCAACCGGCAACCGCTCCGCCGGGTTGTCCCCAGCCTGCTGCGGGGTGTAGCTCTGCAGCCGCGAGTGGAATGAGGTGCCCCCTTGGAGGGAGAACTTCAGCTTGCCTGAGGGTGGAGGCATGAGGGTATGGAGTGCTCTCAGCAGCCACGTTGTGGCGATACCCAGTTGTCTGGGACGTCCGACCTGCATTTGCATTCCCAGAGGAGGGTCGCAGCCGCGCACATTCCGCTGCGGCGGCGTTCGCGCACGCGACGCACCGACGCAGCAGGGCGAGCACACATAGGCGGCGCGCCGCGCGACCGCCATCTGCAGTACTCGGTCGGTCGCGTTGCCACAGGCGTGCAGCGCGAGCGCCACGTCAAAGGGGCCTTGCCACTGCTCGATCATACCCTGGAGGGTGTGGGGGGTTGTGGGGTGGGAAGACGAGGGGTTTCGGGGGCAAGGGGTGCAGCAGAGCTGGAGGGGCCGCGCATGCGCGTCACGCAGTGGCCAGATCGTCGCCACGACACCCCTGGATGCGCGGCGCGACTGGCCTCACTGTTCCGGTGCCCTGCATCAATCCAATTCAGGTGTTGTTTCAAATTGCGTTCGTGACGGTCGAATTGCCGATTTGGTTGAGCCCCCTTGCATGGCAACTCGTGGCTCCAGACCTCACTACATGAGCCGCCGGAAGCACAGCGCGCGGTGGTTCAGCAGCAAAGGCGCGCGTCCGCGGCGTCACCTGGCAGACGCGGACGTTTGTGAGCCCCGCCTCGTCAGCGCGCTGCTGCAGGATCCGCAGCGGCTGCGGCTTCATCTCCACCGCAACCCACTCGCACGCCGGCCACGCGGCCGCCAGGGGGAGCAGCAGGTTGCCGGTGCCGCTGCCAAAGTCTACGACCCGCAGCGGCCGCCGGCCGGGGGGCGGGCCGAGCAGGGAGCACAGGGGAATGGCAAAGCTCTCGACCTGCAGCCGCTTGCGGTGGGCGCGCGCCGCCTGCTTCTCCGAGTCCGCGTCTGGCCGGCTGCTTGCGCCGGCCCGTATCGCGGACGCGGGGTCGCAGCTGCCCGGCAGGCGCGGCCAGTCGAGCGGGTTGGAGGCGGCGGTGGCGGAGGCGCCACTGGTGGGCCCAGCCGCTGCAGCTGGCCACGCTGAGATGCTGGGCGCTGGGTGGGCCAGGGTGTGGCAGCTAGACGCCAATGGGGTGAGCACGAGCAGGTCGAGCTCTTCCACCTGGCGGGCCAGGCGGCGGCGTGACTGCTGAGTCTTCTCGCTGGCGCCTGACATTGGACCCGGTGGTGCGGCGGCCACTGCGCGCGCTGTTGCCAGGCAGCTACTGACGCCGACTGTGCGAGCGCTTTCGCGCTGTTATGTGGTTGTGTGATGATCACGCTATGATGCGATGAAAATCAATGCACCGTATCCTTGAGTACGAGGTCAGGAAGCTACCGGTAGGGAGATCAAACTTGATCAGGCTCCGAAAGGCTCGTCACAGCTGGCAATGTGCCGCTGGTAGACCACTTCACACTCACTACAATAACATATCGAGCACCCACTGCTACAGCTATGCGTTTGTGACCTGGTGCCGACGAGTGTGTCGCCGTCATGAGGAAGCCGGGCTTGGATTGCACGTGCGCGGTTACATGCGCATGCATACTAATTATCGTGGGTACGGTCACGGGCCAGTCAACAGCACCGGCGGACAAAGTCGCAGGGGCGTCGCTGTCGCGGCAAGCTGCGTCCGGCGGGCACTGCCGCTCCTTTGTGCCCGGCGATGCTCGGGAGCAGTGCGGTGAGCTTGAGCACGTGCCCTTTGATTGGCTGCAGTGCCTCAAGGTACTTTGATGCTTTGGGCTGCGTGTGAGCACGGCCCTGCGTTTGGTCAAGCCCCCCTACACAAAAAATTCCACTGCTCCAACTGCTTTGCCTTCTTATGGGCCTACATACACTCCCCGTCCACCCGCCCCTCAAATGTGTTACGATCGGCTGTCCTGACAGGCTCCCCTGACGCGCAGCCGGATGAGTGCGCCAGCAAGGGCTGCTGCTGGTCGCCACTCAAGGGCGCCCCCTCCTGCTACCGCCCCCTGGCAGCAGCCAACGCCTCAGACCCGACGACAGCGGCGGCCCCCAAAGCAGCTGCATCGCCCGCCCAGTTGCCGCAGCAGCAGCCGCAGCAGCGGCAGCAGCCGCGGGTGGCGGCGTGCGCGCCGGACGTGCCGGCTCGCGAGCGGATTGACTGCGGTGGGTGGTGGGCAGCAGCGGTTGCGAGGGCAGGCTGGGGAAGCGGCGAGGTGACGGGCAGGCGCTGTGGTCCTTCGCTTGAGATACATGATAGCATAGAGATTGAACGAGAGACCGTGAGGTTAGGGACGGCGCGGCGGCATTGCTGGTTCAGCGGCTTGATGATCCCTCGCACGTCCCCCCGATGATGTCACCTCCCAGGCTACCTGGGCATTGCCCAGGGGGAGTGCGAGGGCAAGGGCTGCTGCTGGGCACCCCAGCAGGGCGGCCCCTGGTGCTTCGACCCCGTGCCCAACTACCGCGTCACCCGGGTTACGCAGCCGCCGGGTAGGCCGTCACTACCTCCGGTCGCGACAGTGGCGATGGGACGGGGGGGGGGGGGGTGTCGCAGCAGACGCCGCATGCCAGCGCG